CTTTCTACTCTGTATACTGTCAATTTTGGCCTGTCATTTGCAGTCCAGGCTTTTCATAACATTGCTCATATGCAAACTAACAAGGTGTTATGCTTGAGCAACTCAAAAAGAAAAAGAAAAAAAGTTACCTTGCTCTCTTTCTCCACTGTTTTTCCTAATTTATCTATACACTCTCAACCTCATCCCCATTTTGGTAGGATTTTTTGGTTTTAAAGAACTGACACACAGGAAAAACATATGTTCATTTTTCTTCCAGCTCCTCCACACTTCTCCTTCATCTGCATAGGTCCTATTTTCTATTTATAAAAAATAGCAAATATATGAGACCGTGTTTGGTTTCACAGGGGAGACACTATTAATTTTGAGGCAGATTCATAGAATGAAACACACCAGCACCACTATCTTACAACATATCCCACTTATTATGAATAATTTTATTGAATTACTGGATTTTATGTATTCATTCTATACATTTGTAAATTCTGTAAATGTAACTTCTGTTCTAACAAATCTTTGAAATTCCATTTGCCTGTCACTGACATGCTTTCCTCTCTAATATACCATAAATCTGAAACTAAGTAGTAGTCACATGCCCACATCAACTACTCTTCAAGGTGGTACATGTTAAGAGGTACTTAAAGAGCAACCTTTGCATCCAAGGACCTCAGCATATTTTATAACTGCTATCCTTGCTTGCTTCACTTTACAGTGATATCATTCCAGTTCTAACAACCAAGAATAAACTGAGGAATGGATAGGCAGTAGCTGGCTCAAAATACAAACATATCTGTCCCAAAGTAAAGAAGTGAACTTGCATAACCCATTTTCAGCCCTGTGTGTTACAGTGTGTTTTCTCTTTATCAAAAACGAAATTCTGAGAGTAGTTTAGTAATTATTATTTAAATAAACATTATTTATTTACTTATTTATTAGATATTTAATTATTTAATAAGCATTTAGATAATTAAAGGATTATTTATTTAGATATTTCAATGTTATGTAAAATAAAGTGCATCTCTCACTAGCTGTTACTATAAATTCACAGTCTCATTTTTTCTGAATAGTTTTATTTTCATGTAGGCTTATTGATCAAACTTACCATTACCAGTAGTTCCAGTTGCACCAAACTGCAACAAAACTATCACAATGGAGCCATGACAGGCCACTCCCTGGCACTGTAGCTGTGCCTGCTCTTCTTTTGGGGGGCTCCACAATGCTCGCATTTTAGTAACAGAGATAAATAAGGCAAATTTCTATCTGGGGCTATATTAAAAGACCTTCCATCAAGTGAAACAAGATGGACAGTTATGGTGCCAACAGTATCTTGTCAGTTTTAAGGGGAAAAATACGGTTTTGTACTCATTACCAGTCCTTTAAGGGACTTAAACTAGAGGCTTCATGCATGCACACCTATTTAATGCTAGAAAATTGTATACATAACCCAATTTTCACTGTATTTTCCTACACATCAAGCATATTGTTTAATTGTACCATCAAAATTGTACAGAAAAAAGATCAAACCAATACTAGCAATGTATTGGTTTTATTCAGGCATTTGGTTACTCCTTAATAAACAAACAAATAATTCCCTAGGTGGCTACAAAATTCCTCATACTATCACATTAACTAACTTATTTATGCAAGGTAGTTTTTGTAGAATGAGGAGTCAAATGAAATCACCAGTCTGTGCCTTTCCTGGCCCAACACAGGAAGATGTTACAGAATCTACAGTGTCAGCAAACAGCTGACACCTATAGCAGCATTCCCAACTCTAAAATCTAATACCTCACTTTGCAAGCAGTACCTGTCAACCCTGAATGATTTCAGCTCCTCCTGGTTCTTTGTGACTCCCCTTTTACCTCTTTGCTGTCCCCGAAATACACTCAGCAACATCATCTTGCCTGTGGATGTGACACCAAGCGATTATGCTCTTTCCAAGAAAAGGGTGAGGGAAAAGTAGTATGGTGACAGAGGTTACAAAAATGGATTACAGGACTTCAGCATAACATAACACAGAGGTTAGTATTTGCACTGTGAAGACTTAGTTCCTAAATGAAAGCTGCATTTGCTGAATTAGACTCTCACATTCCAGGTGTGCATCATGCACAAGTCAAAACTGTCAACTGCCTTCCCCACCATTTACTTACATAGATCCATAATATGGTTTCTGCAAATGGCACAGTTATCGACCACAATGTCCCATGCCCACAGAGCTACTGCATTCCACTAGAGAGAGGGGGGAAAAAAGACAAAGAAAAACATAGTTTTAACTCAATTTACAGCACACAGAAATCCTTGTTATTCCTCAAGATACCGAGTATATTTTAAACGGAAAAGGTGGGATACTAAAAAAAACAACAAAACAAATCTTAGAAGTCCAGTTCCTTATCATTAATTCATAACTGTTACTAGAAAGCAGTAATGCATTCCTCTCACCTTCCAGACCCAATGTCTCCTTCCAACTTCAGAAACAAAGAAACTCCCATAGCTCCCTTTTTGTGAATCAAATGCAAACATCTGCATTTCTATTCAAGATCCAGAGGCAGGGATGAAGTTCATGCCACATCCTCAATTCTCATGGAATAGACAGTGCTCTGGAGATGCCATTTTGTTAAGAGGAGTTTCTATCATTTGTAGGATTTCTTTTACTAATCACACCCAGAGCACCTGGGGTCAAGAGCTAAAATAATCCCTAATGCTACCCTTTGACTCCTGAACAATCTCCTCTGCAAAAGGTAACTAGACAATGACCTACCAGCAAGGATGCATATAAAAATTTGGAAGTACTACCAAATTAACCTTTCAAAGACTGTGTTTATTTAAAAAAAAAAAAAAAAAAAAAGCTACTTCAGGGGGAGGGTTGGTGAAAAATTTCCATATTAATTTTAGAAAACTGATTCAGAACGAGGACTTTAAGACAAGCTATGCAGAAAAGCCTTTTTATTCATTCTCCCCACAAAAATGACAATCAGGTCTTCCTTCCACTTTTTCAGTATATGATTGTACTGACTGTACTAAATCTTCTCTACTTTGTTCCATTTAAGTTTCAGCGTTTTCACTGCTCCCCCTGAGCTCAGGATTCAGGAGGAATGCAGGCTGCCATGTATTGATAAGCACTACCAATTTTGACAAGCACATCAACTTTTAATTGGTACAGATATAAAAAGTTATCACCATCCTACTAGATCTTTTAGAAAATCAATCAGTACCAATCTCACTTTTTCTCCCCATCTTCCAGCTTCAAGCCTAGCCAGGCTTCTGGTGGAGGTACTCATCTTGCAAGGGCTTCATCCACACTTTCAGGCAGCGAGGATAAAAATACCCAGCACCCTTCTCTCTCCCACACTTGAATCTCTTGTCCCAGTGTAAGCTACTCTTGCAACTGGCAGAGCTGTGCCGAGCCACACGTGCAACAAATGCCCCTTGGCACCTCGCTAGGGAGGTGACACACTGCACTGACACAGAGAGGGTGCCGCCCCCTGCTCCTCTCACCTGTCTATCCCTACCTCCACAGAACAAGCCAGCACGTCACCCAACCACCTCCTCCTGCGCAGGCCCGCAGGCCCGTGCCGAGCTGGGGGCCTCCATCAGCACCGAGGGGTGACACACAAACCTCACCCATAAGGAGGAAGCGCTGGCTGGTGCCTGGTGACAGGGGCAAATCTTCTCCCAAACTCTCCCTCAGCACAAGCCCACAGAGCCTGCCTGCTTCCCCTGCGCCCACCTGCAACGAGCTACTACGAAGGCCCAGCCGCCAGGAGAGCCCCCGCTGCCCCACACGCGTTGCTACGGTTTGATTAAAACCAAACGTTAGAAGAAGCGACCGCACAAAACTCGCGCCCACCATGTGACGCAGCACC